CAGCGCTCTGGCGCTGACCATACCGTACCGGTATAGTGCCGGTAGGTCGATGGCTCCAAGTGAGGCTGTACCGGTACTTTATACCGGTGGGGCAGARGCCGGCCTCAATGCTGCGAGGCCTGGCCATGCCCTGAACCGTCCAGATGGACGGTTCAGCCCCAACCGGCGGGCGGCAGCCTCAAGAGCGCCGCCAGGCCCAAACGATAATGCCGTTTGGGCCTGCCCGTTGGGTACTGGTCCAAGATCAGGCCCTGAGGGCCTGTACTATCCCAAGGTCGGGCCTTTAGGCCCTGATGTGTCCCTCCGACCCTAAGTCGGGTCCGGTAGGGCCCGTGTGCGTCGAAGATGTAACACTTATACAGGGGACCCCTTCGAACATAGCTTTGCTGTCTCCCTCCAGCCATCAGAGGGGCCTCAGGGCCACATTGAAATTCCTTACCAAGAAATATATATATATCCTGATGAGTCGGTGAAACTCCGATGAAACAGTTTGTCACATCCCCTCGTTTGTTGTCACAGCCTGAAAGCCCCCATCTTCCCAAAAGAAGGTAGATTCATGACATTTGGCTGCATTATGATGCTGTTCGCAGCAGTCTGCCTTCCCTACGGGCGATTTCTTGCGAGAACCAACCAAGAAATCAGTTTTCTTGCAGAAAGGAGCTTCCTGAAAAACACTTTTTTCTTTTTTGTCCCTCTGCCCCCTCCCCTGTCCTTTAATCTCAGGGTAATCAATGCTGGCAGGGAGCGCCCACAATTGTCTTTCTGACATACTCCAAGTCCAGTCTGTATATGGGACGCTGGACCCGTTTTCCAGCAGGTGATGCTCCCCCACCAATAGATGGAGCCTCTCCCCAGGTGCTAGCGGTGTCTGCTCTTATCAGCACCACTAACACTGGTGGGGGCGTTGTTAGGAAAAAAAAAAAAAGAAAAAAAAAAAAGAAAAGAAAAAAAGCAGTTTCGGTCCTTGGAATACAGTGACCCTCCCCCTCAAAAAGAAGAGCGCCAACTAATTACATGACTTACCATCTCCACCTGATTAAAACGCTTGGTAATTATCGCTGTATGTGCACTTCCATTTGCCCCATAATAATACAGCTATGATGACCGGGCATTCTATTCGGGTGAAGACAGTAGTCAACGGACAGCAAACAAATGCATGCAAACAGGTAGGCTCAGGGAGAGTCGATCTTTTCACTGTCAATGCTGTGGTATAAAGGGTGAAGGGAAGGAGTTCATTCCATTTTGCATTACGAATTAGAAACCAGTTAATGCACATCAACGACCACAATGGTATACTGGCATGGAATACAATTGTCATAGGAGCAAAATTGCAAAGAAAGATTGGCTGGCGCTAGGCTAAATCAATTCATTGAGCAACGGATTCACTTTGATCATAATCACTACTAATCTGCTGTGGACATTTTCACACACACACACAAACACAAACAATACAGGGAAAGTCATTGGGATGAAACCGCGAGGGGACATCGACCTAGCTCAGTTGGTAGAGCACAAAAGCGACATTCACGCGCTCATGTGTTTGATTCCCAATGTCTTCCATTCGAATCTGCACGACCTCCTGCGGCGCACTGCGGGTTCACCAGCTGAGATACTCCGCTTACCCCCCCTGATTGGTCTTGGTACGGGCTATTCCTTTGTCCCTTCTATCCCTTGCTGGGGGTTAGGCCCAACCCTAATGGAGTAAGGTTTCCCCACGTTGTTTGGACATGGGTTGAGGCTGGTGCTAAGACATATAGGTAGGTAGGTAGTGTGAGGTATAACAATAATAATTGAGAGAAGAATATAGCTTAGTTAAAAAAAAATAAAAAAAATACCACCAGTATTTGAGACCCCGCCCAGCCAACTCAACAGCTGTCTGCATCGAGGCGTGCCTTCCATGTACCAGCCTTGTTGCCGCACGTTCAATTCATATGCCAGTCGGAAATTCTAAGTTCTGCAGAATAGTGTCCTCGGTATTGATGATTTAAGAGCTGAAAAATACAGACCCGTGTCGGCCCTACCTGCCGTAATAACTACCAGTATGTTCATACAGGTGCAACATGCCTAGG